TTCAGTCTCCGTTTGGGAGTTTTTCCCAAGCAGAAGACCCAGCTGAGCTCCCAGCATGGCAGGGAGCTGGCACTGGGCACCCTGGCACAAACAACGAGCTCATGCTGACACGGGGGGATCTCTGCCAGCCCCGGGGATGAATGTCAGGGTTAATTCCCCACTGGGGAACTCTCAGCTGCACAAACGCAGGAGCCAAAGCTCTCTTTCCTTCTAGATTCTCTCTTGCTTTTGGCATCCAGCTCTCCTCACTCATCTCTCCCTTCTCCTCCATGCCAAGCTTCACTCTTGCTCCTTGGCTTTCCCCTTGGCTCAGACCTCTTTCTGTTGACAGCTGCTTTCTCTTTGCTCTCCCCGTCCCTTCCTGCGCTGAAACCACCTCCTCAACCCCTTCCTGTCCCCAGGCACCCTCCCCTGCACCCTCTCACCAGGCAGCACGTTGGTCCCTTCCCTCTCTGTCCCTCTGCCTCTCCCCCTCACTCCAAGCACCAGCCCCTGTTGTTCCTCCTGCAGCCCCAGGTCTGGGGTAAATCCCTCCCGGGGAGGGGGTCGGGGTCGGGGGGACACTGCCGTGGGGGGACAGGGCTCACCCTGAAGTTCTCGGGGTCCACGTGCAGCTTGTCGCAGTGCAGCTCGGACAGCTGGGCGAAGGTGTTCTTGATGCTGTCCAGGTTCTTGACGGCGTCCCCGAAGGAGGTGAGCACCTTCTTGCCGTGGGCGCGGACCATGGGGTTGCCGAGGATGGCGGTGGCACCCGACAGGTTCCCGAAGGAGGCGAAGAACCTCTGGGTCCAGGGGTAGACGATCAGCAGCCTGGGGAGAGACACAAGCGGGCACAGGGTCAGGGTCGCGCTCCCGTGGTCCCAGTGGTCTCTGGCCGGGTGCGGCGGGGCAGGTTCCCGGGCTGGACCTACCTGGCCAGGGCCTCGGCGCCGCAGTCGGCGACGTTGACCTTGCCCCAGAGGCCGGTGATGAGCTGCTTCTCTTCGGCTGTCCACTGCACCATGGCGGCGGCTGGAGGGCTGCGTGTGCGGGGCTGGAGGAGGCTGGGCTCTGGCTCCCGAGGGATCGCACGCTGGGGACGGCTCTGCCAGCCCCGCTTTTATCCTCTCCCTGGGCCCCTCCTCCTC